AGGATGGTTTACCTTGAGGGGCGGTGGTAGCCGTTGCTGCGTGTCCTGGACAGCTCCGCGTTTCGTTTCAGGTACAAAGGCGTGAAGCCATTGGTGAGACAACCGTGGCCGAACTCCTCCTCCTCCTTCTGACACGTGTCCAGACTCTCGAAGCTACGGTAAGGCCTGATTCTGGAAAAGTGGTCCACGTTTCCAAAACCATTTGGCAGAGCCTTGTCGTAGTCCTGTTCGAGGCTATCCGGAGACGTGTTCCCGGGATGGGAGGCGTTCGACCGGTTCGGATACTCCAACGAGTCGAAGCTGTAGCTAGAGGGCGAGAGGGTGGCGCAGGTCCTCTCCAACGACTCGAATTGAAGGAGGGAGCTCGATCTCGAGGAGGCGGACGATCTCGACGATCTCGGCGAAGCCGGATAATCGTCAAACACCGCCTGGTGCTCCCGCTGCTGCTGCTCCCGCTCGTTGCCGCCGTTGTACTTGCCGCCCCTTCGCCTCTTCTTCCTCGCCGCCCCCGAATTGCACTCGCTCCCGCTCCCGTCCAACCTTTCGTCTTTCCAGAGAAAACAGAGGAAACACAGTGGATGTAATTGACTTTAATCTATTAGTTTCTTTTTTTCTTATAATTTTTTTTTAATAATTGTCTTTAATTTATTAGTTTTTTAGTTTATAAGTTAGTTTATAGTTTTTTAGTTTATTTACCTTTTCGTTCGATTTTCGTAATCGCCTTTATTAGTTTTTTGTTTTTTTTTTTAATTTATAATTTTTTTTAGTAATTGCCTTTAATCTATTAGTTTCTTGTTTTTTTAGTTTATAATTTTTTTTAGTAATTGCCTTTAATCTATTAGTTTATAATTTTTTTTAATAATTGCCTTTAATTTATTAGTTTCTTTAGTTTTTTTAGTTTATAATTTTTTTTTAATAATTGCCTTTAATTTATTAATTTCTTGTGTTTTAGTTTATAATTTTGTTTAATAATTGCCTTTAATTTATTAATTTTCTAGTTTATAA